TTTTTATTTACCTTACCCTATTTTTAAATTCATCACATCTAGTAGCCACTTTGAGAATTATAACGATTGTCACAGTATATTTTAAAGTCCTTCCTTTCTAGTCTTATTTCCAGTCGCATAAAAAAAATGTACTTAAAATTTCAAACTAAACCTCTTCCTTTTAAAGAATAATGAAGGAATGATGAGTACTCATTTACCTGTCCTCCACTATCATAAATTGCAAATTCCGTAGACTTACCTTAATACCTATGATTGAAACAAAACAAATTTATTATTTGTGTTTATTCCTTAAAATCTAAATACATAATTATGTGATAGATTTATTTCATATTCTACCTCAAAATCTTCTCTCCTTTTCTATAATTTCTTCGAAAGAAAATTACTATTGTAATATTATGAACTGACTGTAATTTCTTCTTCAAACGTTGTTGTTACGACTCTATCTGTAGACTTAGTGTTACTTCTTACATTTCTTTCCTTTACATCTAACATAACAAAGGAAAAGAACATTGCAATGACAATGAAAAAAACACACTGGTAATGTTCTTCCAATTGTCCCATTAGAGAAGACACATAACTCTTTATTTTAAATAAAAAATTATCCAATTCATAATATACGTTTAAACATATAGTTTTGTTAGATTCCATTGGAAAATTTGTCATCAAACTAAGTAAAACTGATATACTACAACCCTCAGGTTATTTTATAAATTGACAAATCAAATGTCACATTTATATATTCGTCCATCTCTTTTTCAATAAAGGAAGAGGCAAAGACCCTTAACCATACAGCCTACTCTACTTTTAAATTTCTACATATTTGTGGTAATGTGGACAAAGACCAATTCTTATGTAAAATTATTCAGTATAATCTGATTACTGCTTTTCTTCTTATTTAAAATTATTTAAGTCTTGTCCATATCCTAGCATCAATTATTTAAAGTTCTATCGATATTGAGGTATTACGTATTCACATTTATAAATATTTTGTTTTAGTTTTTTTTAATAATTAAAAAGGACGACTTATCTAATGATAAATGAATAAATGAATAAATATACAAAGAGAGGTGTCATTGTTAAAGAAAAAAATATTAATATTTATTTTGTAAACCGCATGATTATTTATTATTTTTTATATGAAACATTTCATGCTTCAAAATATAAACATATATTACTTACATAAACTATTTTAATCTTTGTTCTATATAGATACAAAGTCCACAATGTAGTTCTAATAATTCAATAGAGTCTGCTAAAATGCGCAGTAATAATTAACAAAGACTGATTATTACATTAATACGGAAATTAGAAATAATCCTTACATAGTATAAAGCAAAGTCGCTATCGCTGTCTGTCCGTCCCTATGGATGCAACGGATTTTGAAGCTTTTTTTTTAATATATAGAGTGATTCAAGAGGAGGGTTTATATATAATACGTGTACACCCGTGCGAAGCCGGGGCGATTAGCTAGTTATATATAAATTAATTGTAAAAGGAATGATATTAAATAAAAGGGAGATCCTTTTAACCGAAACAAGAAGCTGTAAATATATTCTAAAATGGCAGAAATAGGTAATAATAAGATAATAAATGTAGTCAACTTAGTATGAAGGTACATACAGAGAGTATTTAAGTTACAAATGTTATTAAGTTTGCCTTAACGACCTCTTTTACAAACTGAACAATTAATTCAAAGAGCGTCCTGCAATTTGCATGTCTGAATTGCAGTTAGTTTCAATGTGAGTACGTGTCTTCTCTAGCATATGGAAGATGCATAATCTGTGAAGATACGCTTAGCTTTTATTATCTGTTTGCTGTGAACATAAAAGGAAATTAAAAGTAGAAAATTTGTTGTAATTATTAAAGCATAAGTTGACAGCCTCGGTGGTCTAGTGGTTTAGCACACCGCTTTACTATCCGATGATCGTGGGTTCGATTCCTCGCACGGTAAACATTTGTATTCATGAGTATGATTGTTTGTATCGGTCTGGGTGTTTTCTATGTATCATATGTATTTATTTACAAAAAAAATGTATCCATGTATTTTAATCAGTTGTCTAATACCCATAACACAAGCTCTGCTTAGCTTGGGACTAGATGGCGCTGTGTGAATTGTCATGAAATATTATTATTATAAGTATGAATGTTTATATAGGTCTAGGTATTTTATATGTATCTGACCTGTCCTGTCTGACCAACTTCGTCTATATCACACTTGATATTTATCGTGATATTTCGTCCAATTTACATAATATCTACATTAAATACTAGCTGCACCCGCGACTTCGTTCGCGTAGAATTCTACTTTATTTCTCTAAAATAAAAGAATTTTTCTAATATAAAAGTAGCCTAAGTTACTCCTTATTACATCAGCTACCTGCCAAAAAAAGTCAAGTTTCATCAATATCCGTTCAGTAGTAATTGCGTACATACCTACCTATCCATCCATCCGTCTATACTCACAAATATACTCATATAATATTAGCATAATTATGTATGTAGTTATTTACAAAAAAATACTTTTATTTAATTCTATCAGTTATCTAATACGGCTTAGCTTGTGAATAGATGGCGCTGTGTGGAAAGTCCACGGTTATTATTATTATTATTATTTATCTTTGTATTTTATTGTAAATGTCTGTACCTATTTAAATGATAATCACAGTATTTTTAACTAACTAACTGACTTAACCTCGTTTTTTCATTTTATCTTCCTTCATTGTTGCCCCGCCAGCGTAAACCGTAAGCGCAGACGGTTGCAACATTCCATTATTATCCATAAACATATATATATACAAGTGCACTTACAGTATCTTCTAGTATCTAGATTGTTTGAACTCATAAATATGTTCAGGCGACAAAAAACATTGCGTTTGTGAAGTTTTTTAATATAACAAACTGTAAGCTCTCTCGATCATACAATGTATCCCTTAAGCTCCATTCTGGGACAATCTTCTGAAGGGCGAATTTAGAGGCTCCAGAAAACAATTTAGGGACAACTAAAGAGGCATTAAGGTCCATTCGTTCAATTACTTCCCCTATGATTCCTAAACGATTTCAGGTCTTACAGGAATAATAAAGTAAGTTGTTTAATTCTTTTAAAATACATACAAGTGGTGTGGTGAGGAATGACTTGGAGTTCTATGTTACCTTCAAAAGAAACTGGCTGCTGAGTATTTAGCCTATATAAAAGTTAATCATATTATTTTTGAAATATCTTACTCATATATTTGTCTAAAGGAGCAACACAAGCAGACACACACAAGCTTCTGTCTCAATTATATTGTACTAAATCTGCTTTCAGAATGTGTGGTAGAAAAAAAATCTCCATATATTTTATTAAGTTGATTTGAATAAACTTATTTCTATAATATCATGACTTATGACATAAACAAAAAGTGGATTAGGCAACTTACATTTAATGACATGTATTGTGCATTAAATATATAAGACCGTGCAGTATTAATACAAAAAAATATTTCACTTGATGAAATTACAGAACGGGCATTTATCAACTCTGGTGTTAGAACGAGGTCATATGGTTCCTATTTGTTCGAAAAAAATAAAAGAATAAAGCTGTTAAGAGAGCACAGTTAGTATTGAAATTTTTGTTTGTTTGATTAATATACATTAATCAAATAAACAAAAATTTCAAGCAAATAAAATACGTAATAAATATATTATTTTGTTTAATTCCATCAGTCATAAACTGGTAGCTCTATTCATTGCCTGATGATAGGTCGTTCAGAAGCAAAACAAATGTTTGGGACATGTGTTTTGTCTCTGTGTATGGGTGTGTATGTGTTTTGTGTGGGTCGAGATTCAATAGTAGTCGGAAATTGGTCACCAATAGAGAAGGTCATACATAATGATTTCAATAGTGATGGTCAGGTTTCCGCACTGAATATCTATATGGTTTCACACATAATTCCGTTAATTGTAGTACAAAACACAAAATAATATAAATATATTAAGTAATAAAATTATCTTCCGCAATATAATTACTAATTCGAAAAATACATTATTAAATACTTAAATCCAGTGATTACATAATTACGAATCGTAATAAAAACAATTTGCGAAAAAAAAACCTCATTACATAGGTATGTAGGTTTGAATCGAAAGTTTGTGTAAACGGAAAACAATTTGTGGGATATTTTTGACAAGGGTCAATGTGGACCCGTAACTTTTTTCAATTCGACGAAATTGAAATGCAACACAAAAGCCTTCAAAGTTTTCCCTAAGTCCGTCACTTTTGTTTGAATCTTACTTTTAACTTATTCCAAAGATGATATCCCTATCCCTACATCCGTAGGTATCATAAAGTTTTTCAATATTTTCTACCAACTTCAAAATGGAGATTTTCAAATAGAGCCCCAATTTTTTCTTCACTACCCGATGCTTTCGTTATTCCATAATAATTTTATTATAATTGGAAGTAATTTATTAATCTATATCTAATATATATTAGGTTTATTAAGGTTACATCAAATTATTTTTACTCCTTTTTCTTGTATAAGGACTATTGCATGAGCGGAACAGGACTGATAGTAATTGCAACTATTACTAACAATATTGTTGCTAACTCTTTGCACATTTTTATATGTTTATTTTTCTACCAATTTTAAATGTATTTTTTTTAGAATTGTCATATATTTTTATTGTCACTTTTTGCCTTACAACGCTTGTACACGTACCTATCTTCATTATAAGTATTTACCATTTACTATGTATTGTTTGATTTACATCACATATACAGTCCACTCATTCTATCACCTACAAATATATCGTGTCAGGGCGAAGTTAGTTCTCCTCTTGAAACTAGCGTGGTTAATTCGTGGTGAATTTGTTTTTGAGCCAACCTGACCTGACCATGCTTCTCATATCATTCTTCGCTGTAATATGTATCAATCCATTATCATCCATTAAAAAGAAAAAAGACCATACTAGGTCTCCTGAAAGTAGTACGAATAAAATAAAATACAATAAGCGCCACCTACCTTATCGCCGTCGAACTTTTCAGTTGGTTCGTCGTATATTCGCGCTTCTCGTTTCTCCCGCGAGCCGCGCCGCGCCAACAGTGGCGTCTGTGGAGGCGACGCTAGCGCCACACTGTTCCTAGCGCTACTCGGTGGCGATTTTATGAACTCAATCTTCCCACCTTCAACACAAATATTTGGTGTCAACGGGTATGGAGTCATTGATACGTTTGAATTCGCTAAATGATTGTAATGATTCTCTTGCAATGCTAAAGATGTAGGTTTACTTTTTCTTCGATAAGATGAATCGTATGCGAGCACTTGAGTTTTCTCCTCTGGATGTATTTGTCGTACTTTCCCGGGCGGACGATCAGGTGGTTCTGGAGAAACATTGCCATCTGTACCAGGACTCTCATCCCGGTCATTGTTTGATGTTCTGCAACAAAGAATGTTTTAAAGTCAATTGTACTATTTTAGTAAGAATAGTAATGAAGCTTTCTTCCACATACAGATGGCGCTATACTGCTTTGTAAGGAAAAATATTGCCCTAATTTATGTTTATTTAATTTTGCTGTTATTTTTTAATAGGTATGTATAAACTATTATGTTTATATTCATATATTAACATTGACTTCTAAAATAATAATTTAAAATTGAATAAATAGTAGTTTTCAACTGTTGTGAAACATAAAATTATTACGACTCATCGTCATCCTACAACAGATGGCGCTGAAACAGACTGATGGTTTTCGAATAATAATAAAGCATTGTTATTGTCATAATAATGAACAAAACAAAATATAAGATGCATCTAAATTTATATTAAAACATATTTAACAAAATTATGTTTGAAAATTGTATATAATTATAGAAAAGTACAATGCTTTGGTACTGAGTCCTAAAACGCGCTAACGATATTTTTCGTGCACTTCGTATATATACAAGAGTGTAAGAAAGTTCATTTGGAAGTGTATTCTTTAGTGTGATGCCACAACTGTTCACAGATCACTAGCCCAAGTTAGAAGATCTTGAGCACGTGACGTCACGCGCTCGTTGTTTGGCTACGCTCCTTGTAACGTGCGCTGAAGGACGATCGCCCGCGCGGCTGCGACGGACCGCCAGCGCACATTCCTTGGGCGGCCTGAACCTTACGCGGTTTTCGTTAACTCGTTAGCTTAGCTCGAATTAAATCTTGAGCACTTCCATACTATGGCGGCGAGCACTCTCGATTGCCAGATTTTTGCACCATATAAACAAGTAAAAGTTCGTAGTTAATAAAGTTATATACATTAGAGTCGGTTAGATTTTATATCATTTTTTTTTTTTCAGATACCTTTTTGCTGTTGGCCGTAGCTGGCCTTTATAGCTTCACTGGACGATAGGGATCAGAGCAAATGGCATTCTTAACCCGCGAATATTCTGGAGCGGAAGAAGACCAACTTCTTCCGCCTGACGGATACGACTGCTATAGGGGCCCGGCTCAGGATGTCGTCATTTTGAATTAATGTAAAAATTAACGGTAACGGTAGGAGTTTAAAAGGGACCACCATATTGTCATGTTCACTATAGATTATATTGTTTTATTATTGCAAATTATATACTTTTATTATTGTATGTAGTTTTTATTTTTTTGCGTACTTATGCATTACTGGACACAAATTCATACAATAATGTCATGCAAAGCCAGTGTAATTGGCTAGGCTCGTATAAATGAAGTTATAATAGATATTTATTAATTGCCGACGGTTAATTTATCTTCAGTAAACATACATCAAAGACTCCACCACTAAATTAAATGAAAGCTGCCGTAAAAGCATCAAGTGATCCGCCAAATGACATTCCCCATTTATTAAAAGTCAATTTACGCGGGAAATTAAAATGTCACTTTTGGTGCAGGATATAATATTTACGTAATCTATGGTTTTTCGCATTTTTGATCTCTTTACTTTTTTTTTCATTTTTGTACACATAATATAACGACGATAATCCCACACAGTACAGTATAAGTACTGTATATTTTTACTACAAATTATACTTTTTGTAGTAAACAAATAATGTTTATAATTCTCATAACTTAAAGCTGTTTCCTTAGACATAAAACAATAATTAATTCTAAGATTTTTAGTGGTCAAAATAAGTTCACTCGAACAGAACTAAAAAAAAAAGCAATAAAAAGCAATGTTCTTAATTACATTATATTTTATTTTTAGTTTTCTACGTCAATTGCGAATTGATTTTGATGATTCGTAGTTTTTTAATTGTTTTTCTGAAATAATCGGCAATTACCTACATTGCAATGATATCAAAATATCTTCATTTGGAATCATACAAGAAGTGAAAAATTATCTCACTAAAATATACTTTACACTTCCTAAAGAATAAATAATGTTATAAAACTATATTCATACAACTTATATTTTTAATTTATATTTCATTTAATCTCAGCCATATAACAGAGAGTTTATAGAGCACAGACCACAGTTAAATTATGTAATAAATGATCTGTACTCTACTACACACGAACACTTGAAGAAAAAAAAGTGCCCCGCTCTTTTTGAACAAGAAAAAATATAATCTTACTGGAGTCAGAAGAAAAAAAAGTATAATTGCCTTGCAATAAATGGCGGATTGTCATCACTGTAGATAAAGTGATCGTGAAATATGTATATTCGAGAGTAAGTTGGTTGCAATTCCCTCCATTATATTCATTACGTCTTATCTAAAACGGGAATTCTCGACTGGCGACAGTTTGCCTTCAGATAATATTCGAACACCGACTCGAGTGAGTTTCTGTAATCTGTAATTTACGTCAGTACCAGCGTCACTAAGAACAAAAAAAATTTTGTATGAATCTGTGTAACAATTTTTTTTCAGCACATATTAGCAGACCATTGTTTGTAATAGCTCTGTAATATTACGTTATCTGTGGTATAGCTTAGCTCCTCATTCATTCATAATTTAAGAGCCACGCTCTTATCGGTGATCCTCAACCTATATATATAAATAAATTTGTAGTGTATGTTTGTGAAATTAACAGCTTTTCACTAAATGCATATGAAATTATATACGGTACATAAAAAATTAAGAAAACATTTTGTGTCTGCCTGTCTGTGTGTTCTTGCTAATCTCTAAAACGGCTAGACTGAATTTGACGAGAGCTTCATCCGCAGATAGCTAAATTTAAAAGAAATAATTGAGGCTATTTTTATTTAAAAAATATATTTAGTTTAATTAAAAAAAAAATTACACGCGACGATGTCGCGGATAACAGTTAATACTATACATTTTTGTATGAACTCTTCTTTTTTAGAAGCATTATAGGTTCAATTCTTATAAGGGTAGTGCCAACTCATACAAAGGTAAACGCAAAAATATCCAGAAAAAATTCCTGTTGAATGCTCAATTATGACCAGCAGATCTATTCAGGTGAAAACACAATATTAATTCTAATATAATTAATTTTGTACTGTTGTAAATGGAATCAATACTAAACTGAATAAATCAATAACACTATCATTTCACTTGACTTCAATATTACATTCTTTTCTTTTTTCTTTGTCTGTGCCCGTCAGCAGTGGCGTAGTTAGGTAACCAACAGCCCTGAGGCAAATCAAAAAATGGGGTCTACAGTACAGTTTTATTAAAACGTACATATCGCTATCCGTCAAATTGCCAACACTGCCAACCGACTGAAAGGATTTATTTTATTAATTTTAAAATGAATAATTTTCAAAAGTTCATGTCGATCGAGATTTTATGTTAAGGGTTCGAGGGCACCCTGAGCTTGAGGGCCCCAGGGCACTGCCCTGCCTAGCCCCTAGATAGCTATGCCACTGCCCATCAGCAAGAGGGACCGTCATTCATTAAAAAACAATAGCCAAACGATTATAAACAATAAATGAACACTTAATTAAGTATTAAAATTAATATATTATAACGTATTTATTTAAAAATCGAATAGAACTGTCATACGTGTGAATACACTTGAGGCATAGTTTGTTTTTAAATTTTATTTAGTCCAATTCTAAATACGTCTCCGAACGGGAAGGAAGCTTCACGACTAATTTAACTAAATATCACAACTTCCACAAGGGTTCAACCTGAATTAAACTTTATGGTGATAAAAATATAGTTAACGTTTGTTAAACAGACACGGATCGTTAAAACCGCCTCAGTTTTCATGGCAATATTTTCGTCACTTTGCGTCATTTTGTTTCTTTTCGACGTGCGATGTTTGACCACGTAATATTCGAACTTTGGAATTATTAAGACTGACAATGGAAGCCATTTGTATTCATCATAAAAAGTAATTGTTAGTTATTTAGTATAAGTTATTTAACAGTTTTGTCAAGTATTTTTGGTTAAATAATTAGTTCATGACACTTTGAAAATATTATTAAACATATTAATTTCTTTATGGAAGTATTTTTGTCCGCTTTCCACAATCTACATATTAAATATTCACAGAATACATATTTCATAATATATTCTGTGAACATTTCATCCCAATTCCTCAACATACTAACAGATAATCAGACTGTTTTACTCTCGATGCTATTTTCATCTTTTATTACATGTAATGAATATTTTGTTTGGGCTTTCTTGTTAAACTTATAGTAGGTTAATTTTAAACTATATTACAACTAATTAACTGAGCTTATTAAAATAATATGAGCGTGAGTCAGGAGCTTCTGCAGCCACCCCGGTACCACGGGTGACAGATAAAGCAGTCAGGAGTGACATCAAAGGGATGCCAAATTGAGGTGCCGCCGCCGGCAGGAATGTGTCGAAATGCTTCCTCTTAAATATTCATGTGTAATTTTATACATACATTCATACAAACGTCTTAAAAGAGTAAAGGATCTACAAACCGCTGGTGATTTTAATGTACCGCAAGTTTTTTTTTATAACACCCCTGTGTTGCGGCATGCGACAAACCAGCATGCGGCTCACCTGATGATAAGTGACGCCGCCCATGAGCACCCGCAACACCAGGGGAATTGCAATTACGTTGTCGGCCTTTTAAAAAGGAATAAGCTCTTTTCTTAAAAGTTTCAATATCGTATCGGTTCGGAAATACCATTGCTGGAAGGTGATTCCACAATGTGGTTGTGCGTGGAAAAAGTTTTTGAAAACCGCACTGTGGAGGACCGCCATTCATCCATATGTTCAGGATGGTATTTTAGTTTCAAAAATAATATATATTAAAAATTATGTCTTAAACATAAAATTCTCGTGTCATAATGTTAGTTACCATACCCCTCCCAACCGGATTAACAGATTTTTATGAAATTTTATATGCATATTCTGTATGAGTTTCAATCATTTTCTATATTTTATATTAACTATTTGGTACGTGTTGATGCGGCTCGAATGCTCAGATGGTAGACGTTGATGGCTTCAGCAGATTACGGGGTAAATAAATGATACATTTCG